TTATCCTAATTGGGGCATGGACCCCTGCCGGTATCCTCCGGCCGTTTCTTCCACGCACACCACGATTTGTCTCCTGGTCCCAAAATTTTAGCTTTGTCTATGCTGCTTATATCTAGTGCTAGTCACAGAAAAACATCGGGATAGCCTTAGCTCTTGTCAACCGAATTGGGGATAGAAAACTGGTGTCTGCCTGCCAACTGGACCGAGGCTGCTGTGAAAATACAATGCGATTGTGACCACGTCTTCGGTGCACCTATCGCTGGACGCTGATAAGTAATGTGCCGCGTCAAAAGTTGTTGAGTGATGGGTTCAGTCCGAGAGTATCTGTAAGGTTCGACGTCCTCGGTACAATGTTGACGGCAAATGCGCGAAAACCACTTTAGGAAGGTGAGCGTAGCGGTATACTAACGTTCTTATTGCTCACGGTATTGCTGGTGCAGGGAGTGACCTGAATGCGCAAGGAATCTTTGTTCAGATGGCCCAGGTATCGAGAGCCATCCTTGACAATGCTAAAGATCTCCGTTGGCTAAGTCCATCTCTATGACACTGCTTTAGGTGACTGATTCGCTAGTTAAGCGTGCAGATGCATTATAATTACCATTATTTGAATATTCCGAACCAGGATAGCCCATCGACAGTGTCTTGGATGTGGCCGTGAACTACATACACCGCGTCGTTCAGAAGGACTTTTGTCGTCCTATAGACAACGAACGCGCTGCACAACTATGTTCGGCACATCGACCAGACGCCTATAATAATATTCTTCCAGTTCTACTGGCACACGTTGGCTCAAATTCAGGACGTGATTGTGCCGTCACCACATCCCGGACGTCAATCACACGAGCGACATGTTCCAGGCATGTCTATCTTTCAAGTGTTCAAATACAAGCTACCCGCCTTGCGCAGTATTAGCACTCTGCTTTGTAGGATGCATGTCATCTCTCAACGTGTCGGTCAAGCACGGTCAACGATCGATGCAAAATCGGTGGGTATATAACCAATCAGGATCGGGAAAACCAACATATACATCTTAACCAAGGACCACTACCATGGTCTCCTGTTTGGGCCTCTTGCTCGCCGCGCTCTTGTCTGCACTCTCTACCCCTGTCTACAAAGCGGCTCTTCCCACCGCTGGCATCAATGTCAGATGGGAAGAACCATCCTACCTGGGGGACAGTCTCGCCTTTGGAGTCGCTCATGTCGATATCACGATGGAGATCAAGGGCTTCTTGGAGAACCCGTTCGTCTACCCACTCTCACACACACTGTTGAGGACATCGTCGTCGAGACTATCTCGTCCAAGGCCATCGTCTCAGTTGTCGAGCCTGTCGAGCCAACGGTCACACCGACGCTAACGACCTTCGTTCACTACCCACCTAGCCAGGCATTCGTCCAAACCCCGCCTGGTCGGTCGGCGCCCATGGATACGCGAGCTCCGTCGAACCTGGTGATGTTAACGGCGTTGGTGCTGTCGACAATCATTGTTATGGTGGCTACCTCTGTCATGGTGCTTAAGCGAGCGTCCAAGACATTCGTTGGGTCCTTCGTATCTAATCCCTCACCTTGCACACCGCCTTGTCTCGTCGCTCGATCAAGTGCTTGGCATTACTTCTTATCCCTAGTTTCCCATCTATTCGTCCTGGGAATGACCATTGGTTGTGGGATCTTCGTTCTGCAGAATCTCGATTACAACGAACCTCTTCCCGCCCTTGACGGTCTGTTACTGCTCTTTGGTAGCCTGCGTGAACATGTCGGGCTGGTCGCTGTCCTCGTTATCATCCCGACTGTGTCGTTCATCCCTTGGAGAAAGCAGGTTCGAGGGGAGGTCACAGAGGTAGATACGCTCGCGGCGGATTGCGTAGAGCACGGTGAAGGTTCACGACCAGCTTCAAACCTCCAAGTTGAGGTGAGTATCATATGTCATATTCTATCCAAGGTGGTTTCTTACTGTTACGCTTTCAGGTAATCACTGATACGACATCTCTCCTATACAATAGCCTCGTGCGCGGTAATGCCTTTCGTCGGTTCATTCTCAGACATTCCCAGGGTGATGTAGACTTCGCGGTGAATATCCCTCTGGCCCAGGTAAGCATGGCCGATTAAGCCTTTGATGCATGAACTAGCTAGATTTGTCTCATAGGACATTTGTGACTGTCGATGTGATTTCGTTCCAGGCGATCCTCAGCCTGTATGTCACGGTCCCAGAGCAGAACTCGATGTCGCAGATGGCGGTTGAGAACATGGTTGTAGACCACGATACTTCAGACTCCGCTGGGTCTGGCGTTAGCTTAGTGGCGAGCCTCGATGTGAGTGCCCTACGGAATACTCGTACAACGGTCACTCACCCCCGTGTTTTCAGGATTTGCGGGCCATGGCCTCCACGATATCCTTTCCATCTGTCGATGACCTCGCGCAGGATACCGCCTTTGGGAAATTGTGCCTTGCTGTGTATAACGAAGTCGCCAAGGACATTGATGTAAGCTTCTCCAACTCCTTTCCATGATGAACTTGCTAATGCTATGGCTTATAGACAACGACGCCCTCATCATCGTTGTTGTCCGTAACGGATCTTCGGCCCGTTTCCCCTCAATGGCACTCGGCTCTTAGCTCGCTTGAAGCCCTTGAGAACACCGGAGGATTTACTCACTTGAATCCCAATTGGTCCTCGGAAACCAAGGCCAGTGCCTGTACAAAGCATAGTCCATATCCACGACTACTCATTATCACTTTCAGGCATTGTGTTTATCCAACAAAAACCTTGGGAATGACGCCCACCGCGCCCTGATGCTAGCTGTCTCCACCGAGACTGCTGCGGAATACCTATCTGACGTGGACGAGGCGTTGGTGAGCATGGTCGGTTGCTCAATGTGATGCATCTGCTGACAGTCAATGTTACGTAGGATATATCCATGACCCACTCTTCGTTTACACGGCCGTCAAAACCCCGTCCTGCGGTTCTCTTCCTCAGACTCATCTTCTGATGATCATGAGGTCGAGGATTCGTTTGAGACACCGTCGGCCATTACATATTCGGAGGGGCCTGCCTTCGCCGTCCCGCACTCCGGTTGCCTCCTGGCGAAGGAGAATGTCTGTCCCCTCGGTTCAGGCCGCTGGATCTGTTCGCACTGGTAGATCATCCCAATCCCGAATTCCAGTATGGTCTGGAAGGGTGCAGCGACCTGGGGTGGATGCAATATCCCATTCCCTTGCTGCAGCCAAACCAGCCAAAACCATTTACCCAACTCCGTTCCCTTGCTCTTGCGCCGACAAGGCACCAGCAGGAAGAAGGCGGAGCCCCTGCTCGTCGAGCGCGTTGTTGCGTGAGCCTTCATTGCTATAGTTATCTTAGGCATGTTGTTCCCAATATTCCACTTGATGAGCCGGTCAGCAAGGAACATGAACAAGCGCATGGAGATGACGAGGGATATCGGTCACACACCTACGTCGACGTTGGGTTATTAGGGACGATCAGTAGTGTAACAGGGACGACGGGCCCTAGTGTATGCAGCTGGTCACTGGAGGAGGGCTGGTCTGCTGACGAGCTTACTGGTCCTTCTTCTGTCCCTGGCAAATGAGGAACCTTAGAGACAGGGGTGGTCGACGGGCTATCACTGTTCTCTTACGGACCTCGGAGGAACCGTTGACTGCCGACGGGTAGTCAACGAGTTCTGTGCCGTTTATGTCCCATCCCTTCTCATGAACGACAAACTATTCCATCCTACAACCTCCTCTTCGTCCCGTGCGTCTCCTCGGCTTTCGGTCTTGTCATCATTGGACCTTCGTCCAGGACTTCCGCGCGTGCTCATCGCTTCCAATCTCTTTAGCATCTTTTACTATCGACGTGCATATCTCTCCGTCGACATCCTACACTTCCCCAGTCTATCATCATTCATATATATATATCATTTCGATGCCTTTGGACTTGCATATCTGTCCTTCGGCGTCGATCTTCAGCCTATCACCAACGCTATTCATCAATTCTACACTCTGTATACGCCGTTTCTCTTTGGGTCTTTGGTTTTCTCTGGGCAATGATAACAGCCTACATCTTAGTGAACTTACATATCTCTCCTTCGAGGACAACCTATCTTTCATTTCTCTTGGGTTTTCTTTTGGTGTTCATACATGGTGTGGGCTCTTGGAAACTCCATCGTTTTGTGATAGACGGCTACGCTGAACTTCATTGAATTTAAGCTCGATGCTCAGCGCTCAGCCTCGCATAAGTCGTAGCATTTCGGCACTTGCTCGAGACGCCGCCTTTGTTGGCACAGCTATCATGTTTTTTTGGCGCCCATTCCATACATCTCTGGCTATTTTCACCTATTTAGCAGCCCCTCGCGAAGCCGACAAAGTGTGCAACGATGGTAGACCATATTTATACTCGGCAGTCATTCCGTGAGAGTGCAAGGATCCTGGACGATGTCACGTAGACGTGGGAGAGTACAAAGTCCAGATTGTATCAGCGACATCCTGGTAGCGGCCGCCTGCCGTTTTTCAGATGAATACTAATCAGAGTGAACCCGGTTCTCGTTAACACTATGTCTCTCTTTGGGCTTTTTCGGTATTCTTTTCGTGAAAATATTGACCCCTTGGTGCCGTTATGCATTCCTCTGGTGTTGAATTAATAACGTCAATGTTCGTGTTTCCTGGACTTCGAAGTGAAAGGCGTGACTTTTGCTATGATCCGGGAGCCTTCACCCTGTTTCAAGAAGCCGTCGTCCACAACGAGGATGGTCATGCAGTTGAGTATAGAAGCGTGCATTGGAACATGTGAAACAAATGTTTTTCATCAAGTCCATTAGCCTACCGTATGCACTTTGTACATGCTTAATGTCGCCGCTGATTCATCTTTCCTATATTCAACTATAGGAATGGGAACCTGTATGTCTGTACTTTATTCGTGGCTATAAGGCGTCATTCCTAGTCACTCTTCGTGTCCTTTTTTTATGTTGAGCAGAATATCTTGGCAATGTGCAAGCTTAGTTCTCCACGGTTACTATGCTGGAATGGCCGAGTAGTTAAGGCGAGTGATTTGAATGAAGGCAGTTTACGTTGATGATTACGTAACCCCAAAATTATCACTTGGTGTTTCACCGCGTAGGTTCAAATCCTGCTTCCAGCGTTTTTTTCTCTATTTTTACTTGTTCCTGGATGCTTCTAGATGTTCTCTCCCAGCATTTTGGCCTTGGCCAGGCTTAGTGATTTGTGAGCGGTACAGACTCGAGCACCTGGACATTTCATGACAAAGACGGACCGGAAGCCGTTTTGATTTTTGCAGCTGTCCTCAGGAGCAGTTTTCCCAGCCGGCCATCGTTTCATTCTTCTGTGCGTTCTGGTCTTCCGTCATTCGTTTCGGACATATTACATGTCTTCCTGATACCCCGCATCCGGTAAAGGAAATCAAGGGCCCGAAGCGTAACTCACCATCCGGCCCTGACTTTCTTCATTGAAGACCAACAAGTCCAAACATAATATCTCTTTCTTTCTTTCCACCATGACGGAGTACGATTTCAGTCCAGCTGCGATTCATCAATACCACGAGAAACAGCGTAGCATTCACAAGTGGGTCTCCGAGACCAAGAAACACTCCCCATCCAATCCGTTCGTCCCGGAGCTCCCTCAACGGGCACAGACATTCCATGTCTTGCCCCCACCTCGACCGGAGCGACGGGTATCATCATCCTCATCGCGTCCCACGACGAGCTCCCGACCCAAACACTCTAGATCTAAGACAGAGACATATATTCCAAAGCGCTCTCACAGCAATTCTCGACATCAAAAACCTTCACGGTCCGCTACGACCACTGTGTATCCTACACGACCCCAAGTGTACCAGCAGCGGTCAATGCCCCAGTACTCGGCAAACCATTACTATTTGCATCCCCAGATGGGTCAGATGATGACAGTACGTATTACTACCTGCTACTCCAAGTGCACTGTCATTTATTCTTTGTAGGCCCCCTACCAACAGCCTCAGCCACCCCAATACCAACAGCCCCAGCCACCCCAATACCAGTACCCTATCCAGCCCTACTCCACACCACCCGTAGCGAAGATGGGCGTTTTCTCCCGTTTCGTAAACTTTATGAGCGGAAAGAACACCAATACTCCTCCCTCCCGCCAGCCAAGTAAACATTCAAGCAAGAAGAAGCGGAACCGCGGACATTCCTACTGGTGGGCACCATAGTTTTTTTGGTCCGATCGCCCTGATCGATCGTGCTTACGCTTCTGTGCAGACGGCCTCTCTACCACCGTGCTTGACATTCATTTCTGCCACGAGTTTGAGGACTCTGCACGTTAATCCATTACGAAGCGAAACGACCTTCATAATACCGACTCTACGAATACAATTACGATTCACGCCATCTTCACGGAGGAATTATACCCACTCATCATGATATACTCGTAGACTTAACCAGTTGTAATGCGATTTGTTTACATCCTAAAGTCTTCTATAGAGGGGCACGTTATGAAATCTTTCACACCCCCTCCACGCTGACTATTGCATCATAGAGAGGAACGTGGCCCTTGGCAGCGCGTGGCTACAACGTTTCGTGGGGCGTCACCACCGACTACAGTAGCTCATTGCCGTTGTGACTGGATCGATGAATCACGCGCCCCAGGAGCTAGACTTGCCTCAAGGCTTCAACTGGGAAATTCTTGGACCACGACTAGAGCTCTCTCTCCTGGCCCCACGTGTAAATTCTGAACTGCGGTCGGACTTTACTCCCGCAATCACAGATTATCCCCAGCGATTGTAACATCCCCAAGAGAACAAGGAAACCTCAAATCATTCCGTCATCGCCATTCATTCTATGCACCACGGCGCCACCCGAACTCCACTGTGGGAGTGATTGTGATGAAGGTGAGTCAAGAAGAGCAAACTATTGTGTTGAGCGGGTCATGAGATGGAGAGACCGTATCTGATTACCCTCCATGCATTCACAGGGTCCGTTTCGTTTTCGGTTATCGAATAGAATTACTTCACGGGGTGCTTCAAAAATTAGGATCTTTGAGACGCCTAACGGTTCCGAAACCCAATATCCTCTTGACGGTGCCCCCTTCATCACACAGCGACCGAAACTGATCAACCCCATCCAGCAAAAACCACAACATCGATTAGCTTCCAGCGGATATGAGTGATCCGTATCTTAGAGACACCTGTCGTATAAGGTCATAGATTCCTATTGTCTGTACAGCAATGACAAGTCCGGGTCTCCCTCCTTCCTGGCCGAGAAACACGAACTTTTGCGTCGACGTCATGGGAAAATCATAAACATTGATACATTTCTTTGCAGTATACAAGTACAGAAAAATGAAGAAAAGGAGGTAAATGATTGTGAACGCATTCTACTGCATGAGAAGATGCCTTGGGTCGTAAATATCGTGTAGTTAAAACAGAAAAGAGATACGCAGCAATCGTGTATGAAACACATCTTCCCCTACATATCAATCGATAATCTAGTCAGCACGAATCTCCGTGGGTAGCCGTCCACAACCATCTGTCCGTTGAGAGAAATCCGAGCTGAAAAGATACCATCCATTGGTGGAGGGAGGATCAACACGGAGGCCAGCTGATACGTCCGATAAGGACTCGATATCGATTTCAGAATCGACGTCAGAGAACATATCAAAGTCGGAGGGCGGCCGACTTGCGATGAACGGGGAAGAGAAGTCAAGGGTCGGAAGGATGAACGATCCGGTTGGCTCCTCGAATTGAGGAGGTCCCTCCATATGATCTTCATACTCTCCTGACATGCCAGAGAGAATGGAAGAGGTATCAGAGAGCGCATCATCATCGTCATCCTCTTCCGGTATAGTTCGCCGTTCCTCTAGGACGCACCACCCACTTCCGCTTTCCCCGATGATGCTCCTCACTTCGGCCTTAGTCCAACCGACAAACTCGACTCTGAGAATGGTGCAGACACCAATGGCGTCGGCGCGGGTGGCGTACCCAGAGCGCTGTACGCCCCGCTCCCAGACATTGGCCGCGTCGAGCCGGGCGAATAGGGTCGAGACTCGCAGCGAGTGCAGTTCGTGAGAGGTATGGATGGACGCCAGCTTCGGTAAGGGAAGAAGGGACTGATGAGGAGACGTATCTGGAGGGAGAGGGGTACGTTCAGTAGGGGTAGGTGCTAGGGGGATGAGAAGAGAAGTTGTAACTCCGTTGCTCGGAGGAGCGGAGAAGTAGTGCTCGATATCGGCATCGACGGTAGGTTCTGAAGCAGGGGTGGGAGGCAGAACAATCTTGTTCTCCTTCGCCTTCAAGGAGAGCTTTCCTCGAGCCTTTTTCTTGTCGTACTTGATGGACTTCTTCATTGCCTCCCTTTCCCTCCTCATCTTGATCTCCCAGTCGACCTCGCAGAACGCACGACCCGTTACAGGTACATTCTGTGTAAAGTTATCAAAGAGAACACGGCCTGAGGAGAAGTTCCTTGCTGTCCCGAGACCGACTTGGGTGACAGTTCGAGGAATGACAGGGCCACGGGGGATGAAGTGTTGTTGCAGAGGTCTAGCTAGATTGTATCGAACCGAGTGTGACATGCGCTGCTGAATGGATGGAATGCGCCCAGGCAGCCCTTGTCCATGTATAGACCGAGCAACTGACGACGCTCGGCGAACACCCAGTCCAGGGGCGGTGAGATGGGCATAGAATCTAGATGCAATTTGTCTGGCTGTGAATAGTATCCGCCGCGCAGCATTTCCAGTAGATGAAGTGCCAGCAGGTAACAAGCTTGGGTACGCAGAAGCATGAATGGACCTGGTTGCCGCCGTCCGTAATTTTGGAACGACGAAGGCGGAGACGTCGCGGGTTGCTGCCCGCGCTCCGTGAGATGCTATCTGCATCTCTAAAAGGTTGATTGACGCGTCTCAGTAAGAATTTTGCTCAACAGTGGCAAGAGAAGGTGGTGGTCCAGAGCCAAAGAGCTGTTCCAGGAGCACCGCCGACATCACGTCAGTGGTGGCTGTACTTCGGCATGACTTATCGGTCTGACGTCAGCTCTTTTACCCATGGATATTATAACCAAAGATACAATGAAGCGAGAAAGTTTAGTAGATGCATTACCAGCAAGCGCAGTATGGGACTCGTGAGTTTCTAACCTCCTTTCCACGTCCTCTATCATTCTTTCGAAAGGCTCATCCGATGCCTGTTTTCCTGCCAGAAGATGTGCATCAGAAAGATCTGCTCATGATCTAAATGATGAAGTTCACCTCCTGCAAACTAGCCCACTCCTGACTAGCCGTAACTTTTTCCACTTCCCACTGCACCTCATCGTCTCTGGAGATGCTACCGACGGGTCTCTCTTCAAATTTACAGGCTTCAATACAGAATGCAAACCCTGGTGTCCAGCTTGTGGGGACTTGCGCATCTGCGCTTGCGTCTCCAGCTGGAGAACCGTGCAAATGGTAAATACATATCCATGAGGCTGAGTGAAAACAAGATGGTACTCCGGAATGGTTCCTGTCAGCCATCTGAAGGAGCAGAAATTGCTCCAGGGTGACGCTTCTTTGCAACTGGCGGAGATACATTTTCATAAGAACTTGGAACGGTAGAGCATGATGGTATCTGATGCCCAAGATGAAGAACTTGCCGTGAAAACCAACCTTTAGATCTAGTCTGCTCACTCCCGTGAGTAGGGAACCAGAAGTATACTCAGGACTCAGGGTAGCCCATTCGTGTTCAGCCAGAACGGTGCTGGAAGGTGATAGGGCCGTCGAAGCAGATGAATTCACATCAGTGGATGCCCTCCCCTCCGTGTTGATCGTATCCAGATCAGCTGCTCAACCAGTCCACCATGAGGTATGCTGTTCGCCCACTTCCTTCACCATTAAAATCAGCAACTTATGTTCCGAAGGACTAGCCAGATCAAAGCAACAATTACGGTATTCAACCTGCTCGATGAGGATATTTCCGATGACAAACTCGGTACGGCGATTGAGGATCTTGAGAAAATATGAGGCATCGCTTTGCAGACCGAACTCCTTTCGGGAGGACACCATCATAGTCGTCGTTGTCGCTTTGCGGCGTGATGAACCGGGGAATGGAATAGAACAGCTGGGCAAGCCACTGAAAGGACATCATGTATATCTGTCTTGAGAAAGGTAGCATGCATGAAGAGA